GGTTGAACCTAAAAATTTTATTTAAATAAAAATTCAAATTTTAAAATTAAATTTTTTTAAAGTAATTGAATTTGAGAGATTGGTCTTGATAAATTATGTAAAAAAGAGCTTAGATCCGGATGGCTCTTCAAGCCTATTATATTATTATCATTGTTTTAAATTTTTTTTGTTGCATTTGATTGGTTTAAAAAGAAACCCTACTACTAAATCTTAAATCCCGAATCACTCAACTTTCTGAAACCTTGTGATTGTCTCTTACTTCTCCTTGCTGCTCTCTCTCTTCACCACCTTATGCCCTCAGTCATAGCCGTCAGCTACTCAAACCTCACGTCTCTTGTTTCTCATCTCTCCCTCACCGTCTCACCTCACATCACATCTCATCTCTCCGATGGATCAAATTCTGACTCCTTCTTGCCTTTCGCATCTAGTTTTGCCTCTCACATCTAGTTTTGCATTCACATGATGTCACTATATGGTCCCCTTCTCAGTCATTGTATTTTGAATTATTTATAATGAGAGACCAGTTTAATATTAATCTCTCAATAAAGCTATTATTATTTTAAATTTATTCAATTGATATTTAAACTATTATTATTTTAAGTTTGTTCAATTGATATTTTTGAGGTGCGGTGGATTTTAATATTAAGATTGATTATGAGATTTATATTCATATTGATGAAGATTTAATCTTCATCTTAAATTCAGACAGTAAATTTTTATTTAATTTTATATAAAATTTTAATTTATTTTATATTAAATTTAAACTTTTAAAATTGTCTTGAATTAAAATGCCAGATTTTATTTTTTTTAAAAAGCGGGTGAGGCTCAGCCCTAAACCCTATAGGTAAAAGCTGGTCTCAAAATCAATTAAATTTTAGATAATAAACTTTAAAATTTGAGCTCTTAAAGATCGAGTCTAAAAAATCAGACTCATAGGTCGGGTCTATCCTGATTCCCTTCTCTATATGCGAAGGCATAATTGCTTGTCAACAAAGAGAAGTCCCCCAGCCTGACAGTGGAAAAGTTAGTGGCCGAAAGCAAAGCAGCATCAAATAAATGCGGAAGACATACCAGTAATTAGCACCATTAAGGAGAATAAATATTATATTGCACTTTTATATTATATTCAAATTTTAATGAAAAATCAAAACTAAAATTTCATCACTTCCCTTCCCATGCCTTTCATCCATGTTCTCTCCAACGGCTAAAGCAAATAACAATGGCGGGCTCCTTTTAATTAATTTTCTTCTTTTTTTTTTTAATATTGGAACATGTCCATTAAGGAAGGAAATCAATCAACAAACTACTTGGTGAAGAAAGAAGAAAAAGGAAAACAATCTGTCTGGGATTTAGGATTTGCCATACAACATGGCGCATATATATAATTACCCCCGAACTATAATTATGTTATTGGTAAATAATTTACATTTTATGTAAAAAAATAATTTTTTTTTTCAAAAATGTCCATAGTTTTACATTTACACACCCTGAGTTTTCATAATAACACATGCATGGTCTTTAATATGGACAGAAATATTAAAAAAAAAATCAAGGTATAAATGGTAAAAAAATATAAAATTTAACCAATCTCCTATATTTTGGACCAAAGATGCCTATAGAAAGTAACTTACTCTCCCCCTCAATTACAATATAAAGTATCTTCTAGAAACATTACTTGGTCTAAAATATAAAACATTGAATAACTTTTATATTTGTTTTTCCATCTATATATGCTCTTACTTCATTTATTACTCCTTTTGAAAAATTCATATATTTGAATTTTAATTGCTCACTTTATCTCAAATTATAAGATACTTTTAGATAAAATTTTTATAGTAAATAAATCTCATTAAATATATTTAACACCTTATATTTTCAAAATAAAAATATAAATTTTCTAAAATACTCATAATTTAATATATTAAAAAGAGAAAGGAAGAAAATTAGTTATAGAAAGAGAAAGGGCAATATTAAAATTGATGCATTTAATAAATCATTAATTTATTTAAAGTATCTTATATTTTAAGATAGAGAAACTCTTTTAAAAGTATATTATAATTTAAGATGAAGGTAATAATACATAGTATTGGGGCTTTTACATAAGATACTTAATGAGTATATAAATAAAAAAATATAAACATTTTTTTAAAAATTTAATATTTCAATTAAATTGTTTATAAAATGTGAATTAATTAGCTATGACTTCTATTGTGTGGGTCTTGAGGTTCCGGATGGGGTAATAGATTATTCATTACTTTGTAAATGTTACTTTTCAAGTTTCAAATAATATAGTACCGATGCACGGGTATTTTTAGATAAATAAAGAGCAAATTTAGCATAAATGAAAGACAAGACTTTCATTGTAACATGTCGCAAACCTTGGTGATGTCAAAGCAAGTTGGGCAATAGGCTTGTTTAATTAGTTGATGGCGCACGGCTTGCACCTTGAATTTGATATGATTGATGCATACAAAAATAAATGGACAATGCAAGTATACGAGTCAATATATAATATACTAATGTGTCAAGGTTGATCTCACAGATAATTAAATACAATGATAAGTAGGCATCAAATTTTTAATTTCATTTAATCAAGCAAATCACACGAGCGTTTATAAATGAAAAAAAAATTAACAATTAGGGGTCAAAAGCAATTAATTCTATCAAATAAAAATTTTATAAAAAAATTACCTAAGCTCCTAATCCCTTATTTACTTCTTAGAATCTATTTCCTCTAAATTACCTAAGATTAATTTTGTTTGATAAATCTAGAGTCTAATTAGTTGAAATTATCTTCTGAATCAATTATGAGCCCTCTTAAATAATAACGCAAATGTTAACACAATTATCTAAGAGGCACTAAAAGTTTAGTAATACTTAATACAATTATCCAAGAGGCACTAAAAATTCAGTAACACTTTAATACAATTATATGGGTCCAAGAGATATATTCTTATCCTAATGGTAAATTAGAATAAATTCTAATCTCATATTACCTTATCTCAAGGTCCATTTAAGATTTTCTTTTCCAAGATAAACTCTAAACCCCTAAATCTCAACTTAATGGTAGCCAATCATCAAGCAAGTCATCATAAATGAGATTAAGTGACTCAAGACTAATATTAATCACGGAATAATTAGAGAAAATAGTATCTAATACATAAACAAATTCATAGTTGCTTAGGTCATAAAGAAAATCTAACTATACATTAGTAAATTCAGTCCCATGTCAAAATGAAGAAGCCAACCAAAACATTAGAGAAGAAGGAGAAAAACAAAATTAAATTAAAAGAAATCACAAAATGTGGATGAATCATTTTCCTCCAAGCTCCTAGGTCAGTGCCTAACCTTCAAAATCGCCTCCTTTGATCCAGAGAACTTCTTAAAAGTCGAATTTACTCAAGCTCTCGTGTTTTCTCACTTTTCTATTTGAAAAATTGATGCTTTTTGCATTTTTGGTGTGAAATCTACTACAATGGGCACTATAACAGGCTTTGTTTTTTGGTTTAGAATTTACTTTATAATACTGACTCGCTTGGCGGTTATTGTAGCGGGTGATCATAACAATTAGTTTTTTATTTATTAATTCATTATATTTTCCTTTCCACCTCTTCCATGCTCTTGTAAAGTTTTTCTAAGATTCAAAATGACTCAAATTAATAAAAGAAAATACTCTAAAACAAAATCAAAATACAATATTTACAAAATAAGCCAATTAATATCAAAATAAATATTAAACACAAGACAAATAAACAAAAATAACTAGAAGATTATTTGAAAGATCAATAAAACTTTTCAAAATATATAAAAATATAGAGATTCATCAATGATTAAGATTACAACTTGAATCCTCTTATGCCTTGTCATTGATTATACCGAATCACAAATGATGATGCATAGAAAAGAACTAACTTGCAATTAAAATATAATTAAATAAATTTATTCCCAAGACTCACCTCACGTGGCTTCATAAAATTACATTATAATTTCAAAACGAATACTTGCATCAAAATATCCATGATTCTAATATATAATATTCTATTCTGCACCTTAAGGGTGTTTATAGGTTGGTTTGATTTTAAGGAAAAATTAGACCGAATCAAATCAATTAGTTAACTATAGTCTGAAACTTATTTGATTTTTTTTCCAATTGATTTGGTTCAGTTTAGTTTAGGTTTGGATTAAGTTTGAATTTTTTTAATGAAATATTTTTCTTAATCACTAATATATATTCATGTTCACTGATAATTTGTAACTATTAATTATTATTTGCAATGAAAAAAATCTATTGCACACAAAATAATATTTTTTAACAATTAATTAATATATTTAACTATTATTCAAAATCAATATATTTTCTTTAAAACACTTGATTATAAAATTTAAAAATATCTTAAACAATTATAAATAATATTTAACTAATTGTAACTTATTTTTATTAATGATTTACAAATAAGTAAACTTGAAAAAGGGAAAAAAACTTTGATAAATTTATAAATATATATAATTAATATAATAAAACTTAGCTTGGTTTGATTCAGTTCAAGTTTTCATAAGAAAAAATTGAAACCAAATTGAATCAATTGATTTTGTGAAAAAAAAAAAATCAAACCAAATTTTATTTATAATCAATTTTAATTAGTTCATATCAGTTTGATTCAGTGTAATTTAGTGTGATTGGTTTGAATTTATTTTAAACATTTTTATTTTGCATTCACACTAATATCAACATGGACGTAACAATTCAGAAAAAAATAAAATAATATAAAATTTACAATAATGTAAGTTAACTATATTTTTACATCTCAGGGACAAAATTATCAAGCTAAGCCGATGGTGTTGAGGCAAGCAGCGAGTATTTTTGAGATTAAAACTACGGTGTCAGGTTCGATTCCTTCTTTGACTTTCTACTTTTACAAAATTACCATAAGGTCCTTGTTTGTCTGATTTATTTCTTCCCCCCGATCCAATTTCTGCAATCTTTACGCGAGCTGAGAGAAGGAGAGAAATCTGAGAATCCTGAACCTTCGGCCTTAGCTCTTCTTGGATTCCATCGGCGTTCTCCAACCATCATTCCTCTTTAGTCTTCAACATCGCCGGCGTGAGTGTGCTAGAGAGCGTCGTCCGTCACTGCTGCCGCGAGGTTCTCTCTTCCCTGCTCTGCTGTTGTTTAGTTCAAACCCTGCACGTGCGCTTGAGTTGGTTGCTATCAGTTCTTCTTCTTTCTTTTCCGCCAGTCAGCTTGCTGTCGTCGACAGGTGCGACAGCTCCGTCCGCCGTTGTTGTGAAGTTCTACTGTGAGTTTTCTTCCCCTGGTTGTCTCTGTTCGCTGTTCATGTGTGCCATTTTTCTTTCTTCTTCTTCCTTGATTCTGGCTACCGGAAATAGTTCTCTTCTCCTTGAGCTACTGTGATTTAGCGTACAAGGTTCCTTTCTTCTTTCTCTGTTCAACGCGACAGATTTGTCCTTCTCCTTTTCCTGCTCCGCCATGTTTAGTATAAGTTGGGGAGATTCCAATCGTTCACTGCTTCACTGTTCTTTGTATGCTATTTGGTTGATTCTGATTTTTTTTTTTATTGTTTCCGTTGCTGCTGTGCGAGTTATGAGGGGACAAATGCGTTTGATCCACAGCTTGAGTTTCTGAATCTGATTTTCGGTAGATAAATCCACTTATGCCAGAACTCGAAAAAGGAGGAATTAGATTTAATTTTTCTTTAAAGAGTAACTGATTTTTTTTTTCTCTGTTAAAGGATTGGAATTGGGTTTGATTGATTAATTTCAATATCAATATTGTAATTTGTGGGAGATGAGATGAAAAGAGAAGAGGTTTGGTATTCGTTTGAGAATTAATGCATGACAAATGTTCGATAAAATGTTTGTTAGGAAAAGATTGCTTGAATATGTATTTTTTGAGATTTTATTGATTCTTAAGAGAAGTTTGTCTAGTTTGAATGTTATTGATCCATGAACTTGAATCTTGCAAAGGAATTTGATTATGAAGATAATATGTAAATTGAATTCTTAGGAATGGTATAGTTATTGATAAATTACTAAACAAGAGATTTAAGTTGGAAAGTTTAATTGAATAATTGGAAGTAATGCACCTGAGGTACTTGAGGCAAGCCTAAGAGATAATCATATTTGAAGTAAATAGATTGGTTTGGCTTGAGCAATATTGAAGAAATTATAGGTATAAATGATGATAATTGGATAAATTTTAAGAAATGAATTTTGGTATTTGGAATTTTGAATGGTTGTAGTTGATTGGGATTGTGTTAGAAGTGGAAAGAAGTTTTTATAAATTATAAGGAATTAATTAAAGTTTCAATTATTCATATTCTTATAGGATGTGCGAAAAAAAGGGTCTTGATAGGAGTTAAAAGGCGAAAACCTTTGGAAATTGGGAACATTGCAAGTAAGTGGATGGCGTCCAAACTGATTTTTCTTGTCAAAATCTCCTCTAATAAAATATTACGTTTTTCTGCAAATCATTTTAATAGCAATAATATGATTATTGGATATTTGTTGGTTAAAATTACTTTACTTTGAGAAATTATTTTTACCAAATTTGAAATGTTATTTGATCAATTAAAACAAGTTTGGACTTTGATTATGAAATTTTTATTTTATTAAATATTATTGATATAGAAAATGATTCATGCGAGTTCGACATTGAAAATAAAAATTTTATTTAATAATGATTATTTTCTCGCATGTTTGAAAATGAATTTGGAGGGGATTTTACACAGAACAGTGATTGTTATCGGCAATTTCGTTAGCCCTTAGCACGCCATGGTTACGACTAGGTAGTTCAACTTTCGTGAGTATTGTACTCACGTTTGTTATTTGTGGGTCTTATACCTGCGTTTGTTTTGTAGTTTTAAACCGCATTTGGTTATTTACTCTTGTGGATTGTGTGCCCGCGTTTGCTTCGTAGCTTCGGCTATGTTTAGTTATTTACCCTCATGGACTGTATGTCCACGTTTGTGAATTGTTCTGATAAATTCCCAAAAAAATGAATTTTTAGTTGATGATTTCATATTTAATGGTTTTTAATTGGTAAATATTGTTATTATTATTTATTATTTAATTATTTTGATTTGTCAAGATCAGATGTTAAAGTTATTTTATCATTATTGATTTAAATGTTTTTGTTATTGAAGTTATATAGATATTTTATTCTAAGTTAATCGATTTGCTTACAGTGAATTGCTTTCTCATGTAACTTATATAATTATTGTATTTTATTCATTGTGATTTTATAAAATATTATGGTTGGGATGTTATTCATTGGAAAGTTATTATGGCCTCAGATAGCATAACTTACAATGTACGTCCTGCTTTTCAATGAGGAATTTTTGCTGAGCTTGGTGGAGATTTGTTCTGTAAATATTTTCCATTGATGTAAATATGAATTTATGAATTATATAAAAAAATATATGATTAGGTGCTTCACATAGACTATAGTTACGGTCCTGAATCTTTTTGTTGTATTGTCTGTCTATTGCTGTGGAGTAGAACCTCATACTGTTGGGTATAAATTGTAAAATTTCTGTTGCAGAGATTTCGGAAGGTCTTACTTACAAGAGATGCTGCCGAAATTTAAAAAAAAAAAGTTTGATATTTTGATTATTTGAAAAATAAAAATTTAATATATATAATCAGACTGACAGGAAGTCATATGCATTGATTCAGAATTTTCCTTAACTGAGGCATAAAAAGATGTGTATTTAAGTGTACATCATGTGCTGTTTACTCTCATATTTCAGGGCGTGACAATAAAAAAACTAAAGGTCTTTTGTCGACTAAAGAAAAGTGAAGTCATGGGTGAGTAAAGCAGGTCTTTGCCATTCACTATAGGAGAAAAATAAAAGAATGTTAAAGAAAGATAGGAAAAAGTGTAGTGACCGACAGCTGGGTTCAATCTCGGAAATATTGATAAATAATAAACGTATGCTGAGGTTTTGGTCCTTTCGTCTATATCTCTTCTCTCCCGTTTCTCTCTATTGCATGTAGTTGTAGTTCAGTGACACCAAATCTAGCAGTGAATAGAGTAGAAAGAAAGATCTGTGCAACAACATGCTTCCACTGTTTAGTTTTGTATCTGATTCAGTTTTCTTTTTATTTGGCAAATAGTGATATGATTTGGCTTGTGCAGATTGCAGTTTGGACACAACCGAGAGATTGAAAACTTGCAATGGAATATACTGTCTATGGAGAATCTTCGTCCAGCTTTGATGCTTTAAATTCAAGTCCGAAATGGAAATATGATGTTTTCTTGAGCTTTGCAGGAAAAGACACGCGGTTGAAGTTTACAGATCACTTATATGATGCTTTCAATAGGAGTGGGATTAGAGCTTTTAGGGATGATGAAGGAATAGAGAGAGGGGAAGATTTATCCAAGCAACTGCTTCAAGCAATTGAGGATTCTCTGTGTGCAGTTGTTGTTCTTTCTGAAAATTACGCAAATTCAAAATGGTGTTTGAATGAACTCCAAAAGATTCTTGAATGTAGGAATAAATTGGGTCAACGAGTTTTTCCAATTTTCTATGATGTAGATCCATCTGATATAAGGTATCAGAGAAAGAGTTTTGGAGAAGCTTTGGCTAAACATGAAGAGAGATTCAGAAATAACAACCACAATCACAAAGGTCTTGGTTGGTTTTCAGCATTCGCGAACCTCGGTTTGGGCTTCAAACAACGTTTTTGGCTGCCAAACACTCATTCTAACATGTTCAAACTGCAAACTTGGAAAAAAGCTCTGTTTGAAATTGGCAACTTGTCCGGTTGGGATACCAGGGGTCGGTAAGTTTTCTTTCACAGTGATTTAATCATATTCTTGAAAAGTCGCATTTTTTTTTAAATTTTTATAAGTATATGTCTCATGTTGAACAGTGTTAAATTTTTTAATTTTTTTTTGTAGGCGTGAATCAGATTTGATAAAAAATATTGTTGGAGGGATATGGACTTATTTATGTTCTAAATTACCAACTTATGGTGATAATCTAGTAGGGATTGAATCAAAAATGGTTGATATGATGTCATACCTGGAAATTGGGTTGGATGACGTCTATTTTGTAGGATTGTGGGGTATGGGCGGTATCGGTAAAACAACTCTTGCTAGAGTTGTTTACGATAAAATCTCACATAAATTTGATATGTGTTGCTTCCTTGCTAATGTTAGAGAAACCTCACAAAGAGAAGGTCTAGTTTCTTTACATAGAAAGCTTCTTTCTCATCTCAAAATAAAGAACATGGAAATTGATGATGTGTATGAAGGAAAGAAGATATTACAAAATCTTTTTTTCAATAAAAAGGTTCTTCTTGTCCTTGATGATGTAGATCATATGAAACAAATTCAAATTTTGGCACAAAGTCCAAAGTGGTTTGGTAGAGGAAGTAGAGTAATCATAACAACAAGAGATAGCCACTTGCTCACCACATCTAAAGTGCAAAGAATATATGAGGTGAAAATCATGAAGGAAGAAGAATCTCTTCAACTCTTATCTAACAAAGCATTCAACCAAGATCATCCTAAAATAGATTATTTGGAGCTGTCTATCTCTGTGGTTAAATATACAGGAGGTCTTCCTTTGGCACTTAATGTTTTGGGTTCTTTTCTTTGTGGAAGAAGTAAAGCTGAATGGAGAGATACTTTGGATAGATTGAAGCAAATTCCAGATAATGATATTCTTCAAATACTTAAAATAAGTTATGATGGCTTAAATGAGGAAGAAAAGACAATATTTTTGGATATTGCTTGTTTTTTCAAGGGATGGAGGAAAGTTGAAGTAGCCCAAATTTTGGAAGATTGTGATCTTCACCCAACAATTGGAATGAAAGTTTTGATGGAAAAAGCTCTACTAATTGAAAAGAAAGATCTTTTGGGACGCTGTGTTTTAGAAATGCATGATTTACTTGAAGACTTGGGGAGGTATATTATTTGTCAAGAATCTCCCAATGCTGGCCAGCGTAGTAGATTGTGGGAGTTAGAGGACATTAATGAAGTATTGAAAAATAAGAAGGTAAATGCCTTTTTTCCCCCCTGAACAACTCATTTTATTGAAACACACATCTCGTGTGTAAATTAATTTCGTATGATTTTCTTCCTTGTCATTCTAATGTTATTTTTTGGCAATGGATAGGGATCTAAAGCAATGCAAGCTATTGTGTATCGGTATTTAGGTGATGATGTAGTAGTACATCCTCAAGTCTTTTCAGAGACGAGTAATATTAGACTACTCATCTTATCAAGGGATTTCAAGCCTTTTGGTGGTCTCAAATGTCTTCCTAGTGCATTAAAAGTTTTTCAATGGCGAGAATTTCCTTTAGAAACTCTCCCATTTGAAGCTCCGTTGGATAAACTTGTTGATATTCAAATGCATAAGAGCAAAATAAAGAAACTTTGGAATGGGGTACAGGTGAGGTGCTTCAGGAATCATTCTTTCTTTCTCTCATACACACACGTGCACATGATTGGTGTTGATGTTATATTGATACCGTTTTGTTAGACTAATTTTCCAATCTTTAATTTGTTTGATCAGTTTATGAAAAAGTTGAAACGCATTGATCTGAGTTATTCCCGATACTTGAACGAAACTCCAGACTTCTCAGAAGTTCCAAATTTAGAAAAACTAATTCTTGAAGGTTGCTCATCTCTTGTCAAGGTTCATCCCTCACTTGGAAAACTGCACAAGGTTGTTCTGGTGAACTTGTGCAACTGCAAGAATCTCAAAAGCCTTCCAAGAAAATTGGAAATGAACTCTCTGATAGAATTAAATCTTTTTGGGTGCTCCAAAGTTGAACTGCTCCCAGAGTTTGGGGAAGGTATGAAAAATTGTCATATCTTGAAATGAGAGACACTTCTGTAACTATACTTCCCGGATCACTTGGGTTCTTGAGCGGTCTTAGATATTTGTATTTGGAGTCCTGCAAAATTCTTAATCTTCGCGGGTTGTTGGAGAATCTCAAAGCTCCCCAAGTATCTGGCTTTCATCTAACATCATTAACAATGTTATATTTAAGGGCGTGTGGACTTAGTGATGAATCAATTCCCGATGATTTTGGAAGTTTATCTTCACTTATTTTATTGGATTTGGGGCAAAATAATTTTGTCAATCTGCCTGCCGGTTGCTTCTCTAGTCTTTTTCGACTCCACTATCTTTTTTTAGATGGTTGCTTTAGGCTTAAGTCATTGCCAAAGCTTCCACCACGGTTAAGTCGATTGGATGCAATGGATTGTGTTTCAATGGAATCTTTATCAAATGTTCAGTTATGGGAACCAGTTTCATCACTTAACCACGAGGTATCTTTGTCTAACTAATCAGTTCTATCTATTGATTTATGTGTATAATTTTCTTGGTAAAGTTTAATTTTATGCTTATTTTTTTTTGAACTATTACTAACATGACTGTTTATTTCTTTACTTCAGCATCGCTGCCAAACTGGATATGTGAATCCACAGCTCAAGCATATTGAGGTTTGTCTGTCACCCTTCTCTAATTTTTTTTTTTTTTTTCCGTGCTCCTTATCTGGATATAATTATCGTTGATGAAAGTTTAATACTGTTGCAGTCAGAATATCTTCCTCAGAGAGATTTTCTTGCAATTATTCCGGGATCGATAATACCATCATGGTTTCCAAACAAAGATTATCCTTTGTGGAATGATGAGGATTATAGCTTGTACCATGATAGAGAGGATTACATAATAAAGGTGAAGATACCTCAATATTTCCGTAAAAGTGAATGGTCCGGAATTGTTGTATGTCTGTGTCTCTCAAGAGAGAACAGCGATGAGAAAGCGTGGATTTCATGGAGTAGTAAAGCTCCTGAAGATAATAATTTTGTATGGAAAGGGTGGGAACATCGTTTTGAACTGAGTAGGTCTCTTGACCTTGATGATCTCTGCATAATGGTGTTCGAGTTAAATGAGAAAACATGTTGGCAACATCTAAGAGGTCATAACAATTCTCTTCACATTAAACTTAGCCTTCGTAGTTATCGTTGTAATGCATATTCGAGGGGTCAAATATTGGGTTGTGGATGGCGGGTTTTATGTGAAGAAGACATGAAGCAGTGGCGAAACAACATCCATTGTTTCAACAGATTAAGAGCTGTTGGCATTTCTCAAGTCTGCCTTCCTGACTACGTATTGCACAGAAGTATAGAAATTAATAGCAAGCCTACCAGGTGCATTAATTACAAGAGGGGCAAGGAGAGGAACAGGTAATAATGACTTGCCTATTTCGTTGCCCTGTTTATCCTGGAACTGTCTTCAGTGCTGATTATTATTTTTATTTTTTAGGTTGTATTTATCAAAATAACATTTTATAAAAATTAAAAAAGTTTTAAATGTTAAATATAGATCTTCTAGGATTAATGTGGACAATCAATTTATAAAAATTGTAAATTTTTAAATATTAAATTTAGATTGTTTAGATTAGGGATGAGCATATTTATCCAAAAAAAATTCTAATTTTTAAAATTTTTATTTTATTAAATGCATAATATGAAGGCAGACCCATTTATCGCTGCTACTTTTAACTCAAACACATGAAATTAAATTAACTACTTCTCTTTTTATCAAATCAAATTGTTGGAACCATTCACAGGTGATCTGCGGATCGGCAAGCACATCCATGGCCGATATTAAGTCAGAGTTGCAGCATCGAAGGTGATGTATTCATACGTCTATTTGTGTTTATTTCTTGACGGATTTTATGAATTTCATCTATTGAAGTGACTTTAATTCCCTGTTACCTTCCAATTCCATTCATTATCAATTCCAACATATAGTTTCAGGGGGAATATATTATATTCTGAGTTGAATATATAAAAATATCAAGACATGTCTTCCATTATCTCCTCTTCAAAACACGTCTTTTAAGGTTCATAACAATGAAGGGCCCTTTTCAGTTCTTACTATTCTTTAGTCTTTTACATTTAAATGTATCTTGTAACATCTGGATTCCAATTTCAAGGACTTAGAATTTAATAGAAAATAATTGGGAATTCTTTAAGGTTAATTATAGAGCCTAATTAAGTGGGATATTGCTTAAAATAAGGTTTAGAATCAAGTTTTGGTGGATTGAGGACCTGGATTGTAAAGGTTTTTGGACCTGGATTGGCCCATTATTTGGTACTATCTGCACAGGACGTAAGGACCACAAACTGATCATTTCAACATTTGGTGGGACTTTGGGTAAGAATGATTATAGGCGCTAAGTAGCGATTTTCCCTTCATATGTTCGTTATTAGAATTATTTAATTATTATTTATATCCTTTAATATTGTCTCTTTTTTGGTAAAAAAAAAATTGTCTTTTCAATGCAAGCCAAACATAGAAATTTAGATTAATGGAAAATGTTAATTCGCTCAACAGTTAACCAAGCATGCATGCCATGTGGTAATTGATAGGGGTATATAAGTTGGTGTGCTACTCATATCTTATTTCACTTAACTAATTATACTATCTTATGTCATTTATTTGTGCATTCTTAGGCATTAAATCGTACATAATAAATCACATCTTTGTGGTTTTTAGACAATTATTATATTTGCCTCTCTTATCTCAACTTTTACCTTATTTCTGGGTTTTAGGGTACAATTGTCCTCCATATGCTGCTTACATCCCCACTCTATGGGCATTCATTATTAAGCTCAGATTTCCTTGGATTATGCGCCAAAAAAATTAATTAATTCATTAATAAAAGTCCTTCCTAATGTATTTGATTTTGGATAGGTTATGTTGTCTTATTTAGAGTACGTATTAAGTCTTGTTCCACTCAATCCAATAATTGTAAATTCCTAAAATATTTCTAACTGAAAAAAATTAGTTCTCATTCACATATTTTTTATTTGACATGTTAGAAGTAAGATGCATTACTCAATTAAAAAAAAATGTGTTGTATTGTTAAAATTATGTGTATACCAACTTAGATTGGTCTAGCTAAAAGGAGTAATTTCTTGCAACATGATAAACTAAGGCTTGAATCCCTATTGAAAAAAGTGTTTACATTTAGTGTTTCGAATAAAATTACTTTCAATAAAAAAATATCAATGGATAATACAAAATAAGTGAATAATCCCATCTTTATTCCATGCATGCATGGATCTCTTTGATATTTTATATTAATTAATATACTCATGTTCTCATCTACCTAAAATATATCTTATTTTCCAGTTCTACAATTCCACATCTGATTAGTAAGAGATCTTCTATTATATTCCTATATATATTTGAAATTTTTTTTATATTTGAAGCTATAGGTCCTGAAATATCTAGACTTTGAAATTTTTGAGTACAATGTTCTCATTTAATATTTAAAATTGGTGTAATGTTATCAATTAAAATTAGTGATGGACATTTCTAATTATAGACATTGATGATAAAAATTGTGACGGACAGAAATCTGTTGCAAATTACAAAAATTAGTGATAGATATAGGATGTTGTCACATTTTGGGCAAACTTTATCAATTTAGTGGCAAATTTACAATTGTCACTAATTTCCTTAACTAAATCCTTGTTAGTGACATATGCTTTTAATCAAAAAATTAGTGAAATGCGCTTAAATATAAAATAAAAAGTTTACAATAAATATAGAAAATTCACATGAAGAAATCTAAATAATTATTATGTAAGTTTAAATATAAAAATAAATGTTATCATGTGATAATATTTTAATTATGATAAAGATACTATAAAATTATTTATACCAATATTAATTTCATAAAACATATCAATTGATATTAAATACTATACCTATTGACGAATAATATATATTGATTTATATATTTATGCATTGATGTGTGTGTATATGATATACACACACACACACATATTATCAACATATTTAAATAATAATATATTAAATATATGAGAAGGTACATTAGGGTTTGTGTGTTAATGTGGAAACGTCACAGTTCAACTGGCAAAATGTTTGTATGAAAGGGAGAGATTTTGGGTTCGAGACAATGCAATGCCGGTAACAAGGACAGCTAAAATAGATTGTTGATATGACAATAATAACATAAATGGTAAGGTTGATATTTATTTGAGAGGCGGTATGGGAGGTGACGATGCTTGGCCCCGCCAAAAAAAAAAAAATTAATTATAAAATAAATTAATGATGAGTTAAATAAATTGTTGATGTAGCAACAGTACGATGGGTGGCGGGGGTGATATAAACTTGAGAAGTGATATGGCAATGCTTTGACCCATAAAAAAATTTAATTATAAAATAAATTAGTGGTATATTAGAACGGGTGATTTGTCATTAAATTTAAAATTAGTTACAGATTTGTTTATCACTAATTTCGTTTTTTTCTAATAGATACTCTTACAATTAATAAATATTAATTTTAACTGTTAATGATTAAAAGAATATAAAAAATGACTTAAAAAATTATAAATAAATACCTTATAAAAAAAATTAAGGGCAAAGAGGTAAAAAAAATACTTACAAAGGTTTTCCCCACAAAAAACACCCAATATTTTTAATTGAAGACAGGTGCAAGAGTGTCCGTGAAATTTAATTAAATGGGCGTAAGAGTGTAAATTCGTTAAATGCCACGTGTGTTTGTCATCTGTCAATTTTAACTCTGATTGTTGCTTACGTGGAGGATGGTCTGAAATTTTGCTTGCCTGGAATCCTCAATCCTTCACTTCATAGTTCTTAATCGAATTCTGTTTCAACTGGGACATGGACAATAAAAAACAAATCTCCCGAACAAAAGCTGAAGGAGCCTATCTAAGAAGTACACCAAAATCTCTCTTTCGCTACTAGAATGGAGAAGATGCCAAGCAATTTCTTAGGGATTCTGTGAAACATAATCTCAGCCAATGATAAATACCTCTCTTCTCTACCCGCCTCAATCGCAATTTCTCTCCTCTCTGTCTATTATCTCCTAGTTATAATCTCTGTCTATATCTCCAAGAACAAAACATGAATATGGGTACTTCTTTTTGCTGCTTGGGCTATTTGCAGAC